CCCAACTTTCCAGTCGTAGGCCACACACATTCTTTTGGATGGTGTCAGGCAGAGTTGCTAAAGGGATGGAGACATGAATTTCTGCCCCTTTTATAAATTTGCACATTGACAGGATGGGGCTTTCTTACATGCTGCTTTGGGTAGGCACTTCTCTCCCCATCTCTCCATGGAGACAGAAAATTAGTTCTGTCAAAGTTAATCTGAATGCATTTACAATGAGCCAAGTTTTAATTTTAGTCTGCTTTTGTGATTGCTTCCTTGGATTTGTATAAAGAATTTCCTGATATTTTTAATACCCAATCTTCTGGGAGCCACTGTTTTCCCTGTTTTCTAACTCTTACCTGTACCTATAGACCCAGGTGTCCAAAAATTCCATGGAAATTGTCCTGAGGGGAAAATTGTAAGCTGTTCTCTTCAAAGATTCATCAACTCCTCTATTATTTAAAAATGATTTCTTCTATTATTTCTCTTGGACGCTGATCTGATTGGTATAGTTCCTTAAAGATCCATCACAACCAAGAAGTCTTTTATTCAACACAGGAAAACCTCTTTCCCCCTCAAACACTTGTTTAAAATGTTAGTCTGTTCAGTCATTGGCCCTTATATGTAGCAAAAGAGACCTCTGAAAGCATCCAGACATTTATTTTCATTTTACAAATGAGGAAGGTGAAGGGCACAGACTTCAGACTCCCAGTTAGCCTTCTTTTCCGTGTACCACACCGTCAAAAAGTGAAGTTCATGTTTGTAGAATGCCATGAATTGGCATAGTCCACATCATAAATAATTTGTAACCACAGTATTATTATTGTGAAAAAAATTCATTGAAAGCATCAAAATTCTACAGTAAAAAATGAGACGTCGTGTGTGCCCGTGCATGTAGGTGTTCTGAAAGGCTTTCTTTGATTACTGTGTAAATGGTAAATAGAAATCCATATAGTTTCAAGTCTGATTCTACATCTGCTAATTGGATTTTGCTGTATGGCTTTAGTAAGCCAATATTCATGCTCTTAGGTAAACATCTCTCAGAATGCATGCATATGACAAAGCTGATTTTTCTTTTAGTCGCTGGAATCAACACCTAAGTCAGAGGTAGGCCAAGTTGACTTTGCAAAAGTAATCTAGGTTATAATGAAAGGACTTTATACTTATTTTAGTATCAGCCTTAGAACTAATGGAAAGAAAACAGAAATGTAGAATCCTAAAGGTCTTCCAAGAGCAGAAATTCATCTCTTCTACTGACAGGAATACCTACATTATTCTGAACCCTTCCGTTTTACATCTAATTCCTAGCTGACAAGTGTCCATTTTTCATGCTTATTCATTCGTCACCCTTGTGTTCTCTCTGCCTGCAAGGCATCCGGCCTGCCTTCTATCACATCTCTGCAAATGATAAAGGATAAGCTTAAAATGTTACCCACCCTCCCCTCGCAGAGTAACGTGGAGACCTACTGAAATTAGCAGTTGCTTTGCTGGACAGCCACGATATAGTCTATGCTCATTACCCAACCTGAAAGCTAGAAAAGAGGTTTTATGGCAGAAATGAAAGGATTTTTCAGGAAGAAGTATTGCCTTGTGGGGGATTAAATATGAGATCATTTTAGAAATTACATAAAATTTATATGGAGTTTAAAGTCAAACCACTAAAGTGAAATAATTATCAGGCATTCAATGATGGTTCAGTTCAACCTGTCCCTCGAAGTGTGTGCTTCTGACATGTGGTCACCATTCTCAGTTAGGAAACAAGGATTCTCATAAGATGTGCCCTCATATGGCAGGAATTTGAAACCCATGCCAAAAACTACACTATATTCTAAAAATTATAGCATGCTGCATTCAGACCCATCGCCCCTTAATGGTGCCGCTGACTTCTGTCACCGTAAAATTTGGCAAAAGAGCAGTAGGTTCTCATGATGGTCATATTCCCAGTTCCTGTGCACCCCTCAACACAGCTTGGCTTCCACTCACCCTTTGTGCCTAAATGTCCCAAACCAATCCCTTCTTCGCCCCTGTGAGTCTTTCCCCGGATTTGTCCTGTTGGCCTCCCAACTTCTTAAAACTTTACTCTCCTCTTAGCTCCTCTGACACATGTCTGTTTGGTTCCTCTCTTGCCTCTTGGTTCATGCCATGTCATTTTGCTGGCAGCCTTTTCCCTTGAATGTTGGTGCCCTGCTTGTTGAACACAGTCTTTCCCCTGGTGATGTAATCTAATCTATTTCCCGTGCTTCAGCCATCTCCTAGACAACGCAGCACAAATCTCCTACGAGGATTTTTTTTTTTTTTTTTTTAAGTTCTAGGCCAGTGGTTCTCAACTTTGGGTGGATTTTGCCTACAGGGAACATTAGGCATCGTATGGAGGTATTTAGTTTGCCCTGGCTCGGAGGGGTGCTTCTGGCTTTTAGTGGGTGGAGTCCAAGGATGCTGCTAAGTATTTTGCTGTGCACAGGACAACCTCACAACAGAGAATTCTCCAGTCCCAAATATCAGTAGTACTGCGGTTGAGAAATCACAATCTGGATTTATTGCACTTTCCATCTGACTATCTTACAGACACAGCAAACTGAACCTATACCAAAATGCATTGCTATCTTTCCCTTCACTTTCCTGCCTAATTCGGTACTATTTCATCTAGTGATGCTACCATCTTAACAACTGCAACAGTATTACTAAGAATATACTATTATTCTTGCCTCCTGGCACTTTCCAAATACCTGAGTCTTCCCGAATGTATGATCATTTTACTTCTAGAATCTGCCTTCTCTTCCTCCTATTGCTTGCCCCTCCTCACTATGACTAGCTGAGTTCCGGACCCCGTCATCCCTCCTGGTCTACTCAGATGGGTCCCTAACTACCTTCTGTCTCTTCACCACCACCTCAATCCATCTATCACAAGGAGGGCAATGTGACATTTGATCTCCTTCATTTGCTTATTCTTAGCCCTCATTTTGTGACATGCCAATTAATTTAACCAAGAATGAGTCAGTGGGTTCTTTAATTTGAGAACTAATTCCAGTCATTATTTCTTCACCTTACCCTACGTCAGATGGGAGTTTTTCAGAATGATTTTTTTTTTTTGCAAACAAGGTATATGTTGTCAAGAACATTTTATCCCATAAAAGTTGTTCATTGTTGCTATTATTTTTATTAGTATTTGGCGTTCTGCCAAAGTTTTATCTTAATGCAGATCCAAAACAAAGAGAAGCTACTATAGTGTGTGTGCTGCCAAAGTGAGCACAAAGAGAAACTACTATGTAAGAAGTGACACAGAGGAGAAAAGTTTTAAATGTTTGTGTTGGAAGGACACAGATTAACCAAAAGATGTGTGAAAGGGATGTGTGTAATAGCAAAATATGTACAAACCGAGGCTCAGCATGTTCTAATGTAGCATTGATTATTTTGCTGTAAGGCTTTGAGTAATTTGATAGATATGTTTCTTATATGTAAAATAAGGACATGGTTTCGATAACTTGTAAATTCTGATAATTCTGTGGATTTTAAGTGGTTTTTCTGCAATATACTCAATTTCTTGATAATCAAATTACAAGTGGCCTTCTGCCAGAAATTCCATCACCATTTGGAGACCCCCTTGTCCTACAGATCCGTAATTTTCTCACAACCCCGAAGCTCTTGAAAGTTTTCTTATGCCAAGAAATTCAATAAATGGCAAGTATGTAACAATGGATTTTTCTCTCTATCCATTCTTCCAGATGGTACTTTCTGATAGCTCCTTGAAAGACATTAAGGATATGACCTCCAGAGTCTTTGGGTTTCCACCCATCGTTCAGTAGGCTAAAATGGTACTTTTTGATTCTTAAGCCATTATCAGGGCCATGGCATGAAAGGATAGAAGCACTAATTTATAATCAAAATCAACGGATAAAATTACAATAACTTTTCATTGGAAGAAGCTGAAACTGTACGTGTATGAAATAAAGTATTTGGTATGTTTTTGGTTTTGGGTTTTTTTGTTGTTGTTAATGTTGCTTCAGAACTCTATGATTGGATCATTTATTTTTCAATTTGGGGGTTTAAAATGACAAACTGATTTCTAATATGTTCGTGTCCACTTACAACGATTTTTAAAAGTCTACTGCATATATCTTAGCAACTGTAACTATATAAATATACAATTAGGCAGTTGGTATATTTGAGCAAAAATGACCATTTAATCTTCTAATTGAAGAATGGCTACATGATTACATATTGAGGTATTTCTAGACTCATCCTCATAGCTCCTCTTTTTCTTGCTTCCTGTTTGAAACACCTCAAGAAGTTACATTAATTCTCTCAGGACTCCAGCATTCTGTTTCCCACTCTGAAACATAAACTTCCTCTTGAGTTATTGATCAAAAGATCTCAGAGTTATTACAACTTTAATAATACCTATTATGAAGAAAGAGAAAAATATTTATGTATATAACAGACTCTGTGTGTATAAGTATCATGATAATGGGGCTCTTTTGATAAAAAAATGTGATCACCATAATTGATGATCAAGTAATACTAAGGAAATGCAATTAATCAATTTCACTGATTGTGTAAAGGAGGTTCTCCAAAGCATTCCATTGAAGATTAAAGTAGAAGTAGTTAATAGCCTCTGAATTTCATGTTTTCCACCACACAGAATATAATAGCCTGGATTATGGTACAGTACTAACAAAGTGTGGTTAAAAAAAAATAAAAAGAGGGGCTCCTGTGTGGCTCAGTCATTAAGCGTCTGCCTTTGGCTCAGGTCATGATCCCAGGATGCTGGGATCAAGCCCCGCATCCGGTTCTCTGCTCCACGGGAAGCTTGCTTCTCCCTCCCCTGCTCCCCCCTGCTTGTGTTCTCTCTCTTGCTGTGTCTCTCTCTGTCAAATAAATAAAAAATCTTTAAAAAAATATAAAATAAAAATAAAAAGATACATAAAATACTAAACTGGGATATTTTTATATCATTTTCCATAAATAAATAAATGTTAATTATTAGTTTTGTCATGTATTTTATTACCTGTGCTTTCCAGATCTACGGAAGACATTTGAGCAGGAACCCCTGGGAAAGGAAGTATCTTTGGAACAAGAAGTCTTGCTCCAGTGTCGACCACCTGAAGGGATCCCAGTGGCTGAGGTGAGTAACAAAAATTCTTTGCATTTAGCAATTGGCACTTAGTTATTCTAACAGAGGCCTAATCCATGGCTAATGGGGCAGTGAATTAGGGTATGGCATGATGAATGGTTGGGAATGGAGTCCTAACTGCCTGCTGCTGGCAAAACAGATTGATTGGGGACTGATTAATGACTTGGGAGTCAATTAGAATGCCCCACTGGACAAAGCCACGGGCAGCTTTGTTCAATTTTGTCATTTTCTTTCAAGAAATCAGAAACACTGCTTTATTGTATCTGGCACTTTTCATATAGAGCGGTGATAAGACAATAATGTACTATCAATTTTATTATTGTTCTTGATCATATGCAACAAATGTAAAAGGGGTGTGTGTGTGTGTGTATGAGCCTGTGCACCCCACATAGACATTTCCTGTTCCATGATGTAATCTAAAGGCCATATCTACACACCATGAATAGAAACATGCTTGAGAAATAACAAGTGTCAATTAGTTTCCTACCATGAACTTTCTATCAAGCTCTTCACTTTCATTTTTTGGGTTTTTGTTAAAACAAAGCCTGTTGATTGTTAATGAAGCATGACAAATCAGATACATACCATGTTTTTCATTAGCACCAAACTATACAGTTGTCCTTTGCAAATGCCTGCCTATGGGGGATAGGCCTACATGACCACAAGAGAATCCCGTGCCCTCCTTGAGCCATTCACCATCATAAAGCACTGTGTTAGGAAAATCGTCTAATACTGTGTCTTTCATTTGTTAACAAATAACTCTAAACTCTCAAAAATGCTACCTTTTATGATTTTTAGGAGACATCCTAATAGGGCATCAGATGCTATTGCCTTAGCTAATCTGGTGTTCTGTGGGCCCAGAAACACTTCAATTTGACAAGTGACATACATCGCTGCCAACTTGTTGGTCCTTGTTAACCTCCAAACTATATTTAGTCCTTTGAAATTTTTACTCTTTATTGCATGTATGGAAAGAGGTGTTTTTTAGTTGCCGCAATTTGGGTCTGCATATGGACCCACTGGATTTTTTTTTTTTTTTTGTAAAAATAAGCCCTGAATTCTCCCTATCTATGAAAGTGCAAAAAAAAAAACCATTGTTGACACATCATCATTCAAAAAAGTTTTGTAGCTGTACACTTACTATTAGATTTCTCATAGTTTTTCAGTCTTTTGAAGGTTGAAGCAAAGGTGGGAGTCAGCTCCATTAGCTGGTCTCACAACAACAAGATTAAACATCTAATTGCTCTTTCCAAATTATTACTAATAATAAATGAATTAGAAATTTAGGCAAGGCTCTTAGAAAACAACTGCGTTTTTTTTCTCTCACAGCCATTTATATCTCTAGCCTCAAAGTAGCACTCTTAATGAAGCTTCTTGTTTTCCTCTGAAAGAAGAGAACTATTGTTTGCCTTGTAACTGGCATCCCATGGTACTTTCAAGCAGCACATCGGACACTTTGCATGATATAGCTGTTTTATCCAACCACATCAAGACTCTATCTTCCAACACCGATATGCAATATGATTTAGTGTAATGAAAGGAGGCAACTCTTTTCTCTTCAGTATTTCATTTCACTTATTATAAGAGTGCACCTGTCTCCGTTGTATTTTTAAAAATTCTAATGCAAACCACCATTAAACTGCCTTAAAGACCAAAATATATTCTGAGTAACATGGGCATCCATAGCCTCATTTTTACCCAGCATTTCTTACAGATTGCTGATCCCTGCAAAGACTTTCAGTGACAAGATCCTAGTAATTTTTTCATTTTTTTAGTCTCTCCAACAAGGTGGTTCACTTTGTCAAGGAGTAAAGATTCATGACTAAAACTAATTGGCTGTCAATTTTATTTGTATCATCAGTGGGGAAGAGACCAATTAACACTTGGCAAGCTCAAAAATCATATACCCATTTGACATTCAAAGAACTATATTTAATGTGGCTTTTTCTTTTTCTTTTTTTTTTTTTTTTGAAGTCAGAAGACACATCAAACAGCCACACTCAAGAGCAGGCTAGCAAACTCCTATGTAGATTCTATCCAACACCCTTAGAATCACTAAGATCAGAAAGCTAATAAGTACCTTAGTGAAACACATTACAACGGTCAGTTGCTTAAGAGGGGTAGATAAATGAATAAAGAAAGGAATGAAATGTAACCTGGTGAATTAAAAGATTGTAAGGCTATTTTGATTTTATGATAAATGCATTCATTACTTAATATTTAAATTTTTTGAAGAATCTAAAGCATAAAAATAGCATAGAATGAAATATTGAGCTCACGGATCGACTCTTGCACTTTCCCGTAAATAAAATCAGTCCTTAAGATATCAGGCTATACTGGCAAGGATTTGTGCTTCTTTGGCATCCAAGGCAAACGATTCTGAAAAACTCCAACGGTAAATGCTCAATGAATGCATGGCTGATCAATTCAGCTGATCTTTGTTTTATAAGTATGTGTCTAGCTCCACTGAAGGAGTAGTCAGGTACGTTATTTGCAGAATACGAGGCAGTAATCATTTTCTTCCTTCCCATACAAGTCAATAAATTTCTAAAGAACTCTACTAATCTTAAATTACGGTGGTATCACCTGTGATACAAATAATGGCAGAGGCATTTCTGAGGTCATAAATAATATTTAATATCACCCCTTATTTTGGCTTTAGTCACCACCATAGAATGTTAATCTCATTTCCTTGCAGAACTCTAGGTGTAAACACAAGCATCACCATTTTTAACTTTTTGACTTTGGGTAAGGTATTTCAGTCCTCTATACATATGTTTTCTGAATTATTAATGGAGATAATAATAATAATAGTATGTCTCCAGAGTGTAGTTTTGGAGTTTAAATGAGATGGTACATGTGAATCACTTAGACAATGCAGAAAGCTCAAGAAACATCAGCCACTTTTTGTACTATTATTATGTTATCACCCACTGATTCACAGAAGATGGAATTCAACCTCTTGAATTCAGAATAGTCACTGAGTGGCATTGAACCTATGCCAGTGCTGTGGGGCATGCAGAGATGAATCTTCTGTCCTAAGAACCACCACCAATATGCCCTCCTCTATTCTCTAGCCAGGACTTTGGTTAGAGTCCATAAATTCTACAAATGAAGGTAGCATTGTAAGCTTTAAATAAGGAAAGGCCCTTATTTATGTAAATATCTCTTTTTAAAAAAAAGATTTATTTATTTCAGAGTTGGGGGAGGGGCAGAGAGAGGGAGAGAATCTCAAGCAGACTCCCTGCTGAGCGTAGAGTCCCACGTGGGGCTCGATCCCAGGACCCTGAGTTCATGACCTGAGCCAAAACGAAGTCAGTCGCTCAACCACCTGAGCCACCCAGATGCCCCATATGTAAATATTCACTTTACAAATGACTTGTTAATGTAAATATCTACAGCAAGTCATGACATGCTGCTGTCCTTTTTCTGATTTTTAAAGTTACTGTTGTCCACTTAGTCATCATGGTCCCAGGACATTGGAGCAGCCTGCATATTTTATTTCAGAGAGGAAATCTGGGTTGAGGCTACTGGTGGTAGTTCTCCTTTTCAGGGCCAAAGGAAAGAGACTGACCAAGTTTCAAAGAAGGAAGAGGCCAATCCAGATTTCTTGTACTCCCATCTCTACAGGTGGTGATCCTTTTGACTAAGAACTCACCTTAATACTTACTGGGTAAAAAAAAAAAAAAAAATTATGCTGCGGGCACTCCAGGATAAACCACATAGGTTTCAGGGTTCTAGGCTTGATGCTCCCTCCTCTGGTCTCCTTGCCAAGTCTTTCCTTTATACCTATTTTCTTTATTTAAAATATTTAACAACTACACAACTTCATTAGCACAGGGGCAGAATCTGAAGGCCCTGTGCTGTATCAGGTATAAACCCTTTAGCTGCTGAATCAGAGGGTGGCCCAGGGAGCCATCCAGTATTGGGAAGGAGAGGGGGAGCACTCAGTTACTTCGCAGCACATACAGAATTATCTCAGAATTTAACACCTGGTATGGAAGAACCAATGTGGCTGGCCCCTATAGACAATGATTTTACCTAGCCCCAACTACTACTTGTGTTGAAATGTATCTGTTGACTCCTCTGCCTGCCTAAACTGTGAAGAAATAAGGAGCAAAAAGGGAGGGGCAGTTTCAGGTTCAGTTTTTATCTCTAATACCAGCAGACTGAATCTACCTAGTAGATTCTCTGACTATATTTAATTATATGAAGGAAAGAATCCCTGTTGGATATGGGTACATTTCAGGAAATTGAGATGGAAGTTTCCAGAAAAAAGATGTTTGTCACCCCTGAAGATGCAACCCTATTGAGAGAACTCAGTGTGAGGTGAGGGGATCCAATAGTCTAAAGCCTGAGAGCAAAGTTCCAACCCACTAGGACCAGGATAAAATAAAAGGGGGAAGTGCATTGGGAGTTACTTCAGTTCAAAGAGTATAGGGCAGGTTAATAATACTTATATTAAAATTAAGAATAGACTAGATAAGAGAAAGAAAAACAACTGCCAGAAACACTCTAAAATGGTATCGCCCACTATCTTAATAACTTTTTTGCTAGGACCAAGCCAAAAATATAATGTTTTTCTTACATTTCTGGGAAGGCATTTGCCTCCCTTTCAACAGACAAGCCTCCCCATCTCCCTAAACAAGACAGAAAATTAATATGCTCATGAATGGGTGCAGGGTTGCTCCAGTGGTATAATAGCAGCATTCTGTGAAATGAATCCCTCTTTGCTCATCTTAGTTTATGCCTAGAAAATGTTGCTGTCACATGGTGAGCCAGAAACATACTCAGAGATACTTTATTTCATCAGATTATCTCTTTTGGAGAGTACTGGGATCAAAACATCAATGGATACAAGATTTGTTGGCATGGCAGAAGGAGCAAAACTGAATTTTTCACTAAAACCTGTGATTTGTATCACCTTTAACAAGGGGATAATTGCTTCTCTAATTATAATTGAGCTATTTCTCATAGGAGTTTAATTGGAG